ATCGATTAGTTGTGATAACAACTGTTTCAGCTCTAGTTTATAAGCACATTTATTATACGGCTCCTCACAGCAGCAGCAGAACGCTCCATTGATTTGAATGTAATTTCAAAACGTTCTACCGGTCATTATTTTCTATAACTGACCTCTCAAAACAATAATCACTCCGGAGCTAGCCACGCTCAATCAACACACTTAAAAGTTAATCAGAGAATACTTATACATATACATTCTTCACACACGTGCACGGAAATTTTCAGAATTTTCTGGTCTTGTCTTCATGACAAAAATACTATTTCTCTGCGTCAAAAAGCGATCGTGAAAAACCCGGAAGTAGTTCCGGCCGCTCAATAAACGCAAATGCCAATCAATCAACGCAAATGTTAATCGGAGAGTAATTTATACATATCCAGTCTTAATACAAGTGCACGGAAGTTGTCAGAATTTTCCGTTTACGTTTTCATGACAAAAACACTGATGTAATGCGAGAAAAGGCGATCCCGAAAAACCCGGAAGTAGATACCGGCACATTTTCGGACACATTTGCAGAGGATCGAATTATGGATTTAGGTTAGGTTTATGTTTGGGTCACTCACCGCTGATGTTCAGAATTCTTTGTTCAGTTTTCATGCAGTTCCAGGGAGTTCTAGTTTGGAAGTTGCCAGCCTAACTGTTGCACTAGCATAGCCACGGGAAAACCTTTGGGAACTATTTTATTTTCTGTCATTAAATAAACCTTTCGGCATTCCTAAAAGTGGACTGAAGTTTATGTTGTGTGTTCTGTTGGTATAAAGCCGTATAATAAGCGGGATAACGTATATTACGCAGGTCATTATCGGAAAATAAGTACCGACAGGGCGAAGCAGGTCTGCTTACTTAATCTCTTGTTAAATTGTGTGAGTCTGATTCATAGACTGTATATATTAACGGACGAGTCATGCCTATCTCCGCCATTCTAACTAATGGGCCAAAAATTGGGCTTTCATGGAGTAATTCAAAATGGCCGCGGGGGCTGGAAAATGTGAAAAAAACTCTGCACATGCGTCAGCCGGCACAAGCCCCATTCATTTAAAGTGGACATATCGTGTTTTCAAATAATTGATTTTTACATCTAAATCATTAATTGATAGCCTATATAAAGCGTAGCTGCAATGCCTGGGTCTGAGTCTCATTATTTGTAGCTCCACGGGCCTTTCTTCTACACCTGTTCTGAGGTGTGTCTGAGAGCAACCTGTTTTGGTGCTGTCTCTTTAAATGCAAATGAGGCGCTTTTGACCACGCCCCCATCCAGGTGACACAGGTTCAACTCCACCCCGAGCGGCCATTTTTGTAGTTACTAAGCACAGATACAATTATCTCATAGAAACTTCTCATTACATCGCAAACATGAAGCAGGCCTTCCTCATTGACTGAAAGCAAATGTTAATTTTCATTCTTAGTCCAGTCTTATTATCGACTCTTCTCTTTTTAGCTTTGGGATCCATGCGCACAGTCAAGGCAAGGAAAGGAAAGTTATTTATATAGCACAATTCATACACAAGGCAATTCAAAGTGCTGAACAAAATATGAAAGCATTAAAATAAATAAATAATCACAGAACATTAAAAAGAAAGATAAAAATATAAAATCCCTCAGTTGCATACACAGCTAAACAGAACGGTTTTTAACCTGGTTTTAAACATTGTCAGAGAGGAGGCCTGTCTCACATCTTCAGGAAGACTGTTCCAGATTTTAGCAGCATGAATCTGAAAAGCCTCCCCATGTTTAGTCCTGACTCTGGGCACTAACAGGAGTCCAGTCCCTGTGCTCCTCAGAGTCCGGGCTGGCTTGTACACAAGCAGAGCTCACATGCCGGTTTGTTTACAACAGCGGCCGCCTGGCGCGGGCCTACGTCGCAGGATATGACACACTACGTTGACAAAAATGTTTAAATTGAATATTACTTATGCATAATTTTACAGCATTTAAAAACGTTAAGAACGTTTTTCCTTCTACAGAAGGAAAAAGACGCATGCACCTCCGGAGCCGCCGGTTGCCGACTCCTAGTTTATACAGTATGTGGAAGCAAATACTGTAGAGGATCAGGATATGTGCAGTTTCAACAATAAAATAAAATGTAATGTAATGTAAAATAGTCTACATTACAAGAGAGTAATAAACATGTCTCAGAGTGAGTGAGGTGGACACAGACAACACTATTGTTTGTTACAGGGATGAGAATTGGTCAAAAAAGACTGAAATGCTTATTGTCAGCCATTAGCTGGCTCTAAATCTGTTTAATTTGTTCACAACATATTACTTTTGGGCTCAAACATGAACTTTTAATGCAATGGAAAATGTAGGTATCAGAGCTTTATTTAGGGCGTTTAATCGCGCTTCGAGAGGAATGGGAGACGTGGACAGTTTCTTGCAGCAGTGTATTTATTGGGTGCACAGATTACTCAAAGACACGCATGGTCCTGTGCGCGTTTATGGGGTTGGGTACATGGCCACGTTGAGGCTGCGCGCTCAGCCACAACACGGTGGAGCGGCTGCGAGCGGCTGGACGCTCACAGCCTCTCGCAGCCGCATTACAAAGCGGCCGCAGATGCCCCGGAACACTGCGGCCGCTGAGGTGGCGGAATCCCGTTCGAGTGCATACAGCAGGTGCCCCGCGGATACGCGCGCCCCGCTCGAACAATTCTCAACGGATTTACACTTCTCATAAACATGTGTTTTGTATGAGGCAGACAGACCGGCCCAAATATGGGCATCGGCCCTTTGGGCATTGCCCGGTGCGCCCGATGGCCAGTCCAGCCCTGTTTGCTGGCATCCTTGAGCTTGGACTACAAATTCGAAGTGATGCACAGTAGAGGAGGGCTGGGCCGAAGTTTTTTGTTAGACACCCATGCCCTTATATAGCAGTCTCGCTGCAAATACTGTGACGTAATAATTCCAAACACGTAATAGAGAATGGCAAAATCAGAACGGGTTGAAAAATCTTACCTAAACAGAATATGAAGTGTTCTCTGCAACCCATGAAGAGACTGATTTCAACTTTTTTGCACTTCTAGAGACTCCAACTACACAACATAAGGCATTTAAGACACAAAAAGTGGATTTTTCATGATATGTCCCCTTTAAACAAGTGTCTTCAAAAATTCACAGCGACTAAACTAGAGCAGTCCAACAAAATGCACTCCCCTCAGCATTGACACACATGTGGAACGGAGCTTTGGGCGAAGAGCCAACTTTTGGACCATCCTGTAAACGCGTTTTCGAGAGGAAAGAAGATGCTATATGTTAGCATTGGCTAATTCTTAATCCGGGTCTACCCCCATCGGCCCGGGGTGGTATTGCATGTCAGCGCACGTCAATTTGGCCACTTTTGAGCCGGGACCCGCCCCCACTGGTCTGATATGGTGTTTCCTGTCGCAGTCTCACAGCACCACCATCAGGCCTGGCATGAACACTGCAGTTCTCCCAGGTGAATTGCATTAGTCTTCAGCTTTGTGTGGACAAATACATTTACAAAGCTGCCTTGGTTTGCATGTAATATGCTTTCAAAACAATATAGTTTCATCTTTGTCTGGACAGGGCCTGAATTACCTTAACTCTTGATTCAAAATCCCCTGACATTTCCCACACAGACACCTTTTTAATCAAACAAGTAAATGAAAGTGTAAAATTGCAAAGATATGGGATGGGTTTGTATAACACATCAATCATCTACAAAAGTCATTTTCATAGGAGTAACACAAACACAGAGGTGCATGGTGTTGGAATTGTAGTGTTTTATTTGCATTTATGTAAAGTCAGTTGTTTATGTCTTAACAAATAAAGAACGTCGACATCTATAGAGAAAAGTGTGTGTACAAAAGAAACCAAAGAGAAAGAAGCCGGGGGAGACACCACTCTCCGTCGGCTCAAATCTGATTTCTCACACTGTAGAAAGTTCAGAGTTCCGCTCACGCTATTGTTCCAATGTGACAGTTTGATTGGCGGCTGAGCCATGAGCTGGTTCAACACTATAGAAAAATACCCTGGTTCTTTGTGTTTGTAACTATCGAGTTCCTAAACAAATAATGACAAAACCGTAACTTCCACTGGCCTTGCTCAAATTATGATTCCGGCAATCTACGCCAAACAAAACACACTCTTTGCAATGCGACTAATGTACAAGTATTCACAAATATATCGATGGCTAATCAAGCATAGCACTCAGGTTTGGTTCCTTATGTGATTATACAGCTAAAATAACAGCATTAACTCGAGTGGGTAAATGGGTTTCAAAGCATTACAGGCTACACCTATTTAAGGCATTGTTTACCAGCGTATCTGGTGTTACTGCTGTGGGTCACGGAGTCAGAGAAAAAGAAACTAGCAAGATGATTTAGGAACGTCTTTGTCCATGTGAGTTTAAAATCCGTACACAAAAGTTAGGATGCATAGGTCTGATTAAATACAGATGAAAAATGGGAAGCAATCCACAGAATCCACAGTCCGTAAATAAGATTGGGTTTAGTTGGAGAGGCATCCGGTTGACAATCTTCAGTCTTCCATCTTTTTTTTTTTTTAACCATTTCACAAACAAGGTCCACTGCTCATTTCACATTTTTACAACGTTTGGATCAATGTTGTTGTAGAGATTTAGGGATCCTCCCACTCATACAGGTCCTTATCTTGAATGGTACACCTTTCAGACATGAATCTCAGTCCTGCCTTTTATAAAAAACATTTTGAGAACTTATATTCATAAAAGAATATTATTATGTGATACAGTAAAACATGTGACAACCCAAGTCTCTGGGGAAAAAAAAAAAACTCCAGTAAAAGCTATGATTATTAATAGATCTATAGATAAAATAATTATAATACGGTGTTACTTACGTGTGCGACAGTGTTAAAGTGTCTCTAACTACACGTGCGCCATGGAAACGAAGTGACAACATGATATGAAGGGAACGGGAGAAGAGTTGATGATGCTAATGCTAATAACTGTGCCGTGTGCGGTGCAGCTGTGGCTACGATGCGTTGGAGGTGTTGGGGATCCAGCCCATCTGGTAAGCTCGCTCCAGCGTCCTCTTGCAGTCCTGCATCACTGTGCTGAAGACGATGTGAGGATACTGCAACACCAGGCGCTCCACCGTCTCCTCGTTCACCTAAAAAACACATGGACAAACCACAATGATCATTCTGTCCTTCACAGACCAGTGAAAGAGAAAGTAGAGCTTGGACTGGAATCTTCAAAACCTTTGATTACTACGAAAATCTGACATTTTTGCTAAAACAGTACAGAATGTTGATGGATTTATATTTGGAGAAATAAAACTGGAGTAAAGGACAATGTTCATAAAAGCAGGCACGTCAAACTCGAGGCCAAATCTGGCTCGCAAGACCATTTTTAGTGGCCCCTGAAATTATTACTATAATTGGGAGACTATGGCATGTCATAATTTAATTTGAAGCTTATTTTGTTAAGATTTATTTTTCAATAAATATTTTTTTGATATTTGGCCCAATTGTGATTGAATCTAAACCATTTGTATTGCCGTATTATTGTGGCGAGTACGCTATTTGTATTTCCAAGATGTGCCATTCCATATTAATCAGCATGCAAAGCAAACAAATATAATATAATGATCTCGTAGAAATTATCATTTTTCAGACCTTCCCACATCAAAACCTTGATAAAAACCTCAAATGGTAATAAAAAAATAAAAAAAGATAATCCTTTATTTGTCCCACAGTGGGGAAATTTTAGTTTGATGAATACACATTAAGGCATGCAGCGTACAATTACTTCCGCGCTCCTTTTAGACAAAGTGGGGTAAAGTGTCTTGCCCAAGGACACAACGACAGCAGACATCAGTGGTAGTCGGTGGAGAAGGTCTTGAGGTGGGCTCAAACCCACAACCTTCAGGCTCAAAGGCCAATGCTCTACCAACTGAACCACTGTTGCCTAATAATAAGCTTATTCCAACAAAACGCCTTTAAATGTGCATTAGTAATGTCTGATTAGAAGCATGGTGGTTCCACGCCGTTAACATGTGGATGCTGTGTGATCCAGAGCAGAGACGACAAGTGCGACCTGAGTCCAGCAGAGCACAGCGGGGCACAGGACTCCCAGTTCAACATTTCACAAACACAACACTCGCGCTGTGGCCCAGTTATCCCCAGAGGTTGAAAAACACTCAGCAGGAAACCACAGTAATGTCAATCAAAACACAGCTCCAATAACTTCATTAATTAACCTACACATTATAATTCATTTGGCAGTAAATGAACTGAGCTAATAGTAATATCATATAGTAACATTGTAAATTAATAAGCACAAACATGTTGGATTTTCTGTTGGCAATGTCTGGAAAGGTTTCAAATGAGGCCAGAAACAAGTATCTACCTCATTTTTGTGACAATAGTAGATGTGACAAAATGTGCTTAATTGAAACTGAAGCAATTTAAGTATAAATCAAAAGTCCACACAGGGAAAATACAAAAGAAACTCTACTAAATCTGATGAAAGCTGTAAATACCGGTAGCACTTTAGATTATAGATCGGAATTACGGGTGTAACTAACGTATTGATAATAATAAAATACTTATCAATACAATCTTTCAAAGCTTCATAGCTAGAAATAGGTTTAGTAATAGTAAATAGAAATTTAAGTGATTAATTGGTCATTGTTTCCCAAGTCAACCCCATTTTTCATTAGTCGCCAACAGTTTTATTTAAATTACAAGAAAATAAATATGTAGTAAAATGCTGCTGAAGATTTTGTTTACTTTGATATTCAACCCAGATCAAACTCTCAATTCAAATTTGTAATTTTCATTTATATTAATTGCAATTTTTTTTCAGTGGATTTATTCCTAAATAGTGTTTTTTAACCTTTTCCACACCCCATTTTCAGTTGACATTAGTTTAGTCACCCATGAATGTCTTTGGTCGAATACAGCCCTGCTGATTTATAATACTAATAAGCACTTTTCTGGACGCTCAAAGACGCTTCACGTCATTACTCATTCACGCCAAACAAAGTGGTGATAAACTACTACTGTAGCCACGGCTGCCCTGGGGCACATTAACAGAAGCAAGGGAAACGGTATGTGCCATCGGCACCTCCAACCACCACCAACCGTGTCTTGCCTAAGGACACAACAATAGGTGGACACTTTACACCCTGCTTAGCTTCAGAGGTCTGACCAGAATCTGGCTTTTGCATGTAAGTATGGCCACAAATAACAAAAAAACAAATGGAACATATAATATTAAGGAGATCTTCTCAAAATCGAATGGTGGGTCGTCAACATAAACACAATCAAGCCGAGCTTCCAGAGGCAACATGATGAAGAGCAGAAGCAGCAGCCTCGCCCCCGGAGCGTCTCCCAGGGGTAAAACTGCAAACACCTCCCAAACTACAGCCCTCCTCCCCCGAGTTCCCCCTCCTCTCCCTGGCCACCCGCGAGCCTGATGCTTTCCAGGGGAGTGCAGTGTAAACACGGAGCACGCAGAAGGGCAGGGGCCACGGCGGTGACGCTCTGTGGGAACCTTTACACATCTGGAAGACCTGGATGTTTGTTGTTTTGTGTGCACAGAATAAATGCATTATTTCTTGTAACAATATTTGTTTTTCTGCATGAGGATAGCTAATTAGAATAGCCTGCTTCAGGGGATGCTTGAAGGGCAGCACAGAGTTTGGAAATGAGGGATTCTCTGTGACAGCGTTGACCACAATGCCACTGTGCCACTGGGCCAGAACACTTTTCCCAGCAGCTTTCAAAACGCCATATGGGGTTTAGTTCCATATGAACCAACAGGGACTGGTCCAGAGTCAGGACTAAACATAAACATGGGATAAGATATGATAATATAAACTTTCATCTCACAATGCAGAAATTTGTGTGTGCAAAGTGTGCAAACATAAAAATTAGGGCTGTCAAAATTATCGCGTTAACGCACGTTAATTAATTTTTTTCATTAATCGCGTTAAAAAAATTAACGCATTTGACGCATGCCCATGCGTCCCATAATAACACTCAGAATGCCGTGGACACATGCGCGTGTGTAAGATGGGGACAGAGCAGGTCTCTGGGAATTCAAGTTTTAAAAGAATACACGCGTGACCGCGGGGCACTTGTTGTTTCCTGTATGAACTCTGCATGAGGAGCTGCGGGCGCCACAGCGCTCTGGACAGCAGCACCACTTCCACGGCTGTGATCACGGCGAATGGCGCTGCGTAATGGGATCATATCCATACCACGCACAGAACTATTACAGAACTATTCTCTAGTGTGCGTACGTGTCTTTGCGTAACCGATGCACAATATGTACAGCGCTGAAGCTGGACTGCGGAGCCTCCTCCGTGTCTTCTCCCGAAGCGCACTCGCTAAATTAAAGCTGAGGTACCTAATTTTCATGTTAGTTGTGCCAAAAAAAGTAATGGTGTGAGCAAATCAAACAGATTTAATGACATTCTGCATTTCAGACTGTTTTGAAATGTCCCTCATCTGTAACAAACAATAGTTTTGGTCTGAGTCTAAACAGAAAGACAGAATGTTAATAATGTTAATTCCATTTTATATGGAGCTGTCATTTATCTTTCCATTCAAACAACCATTTACAGAAAAATATGGCATAATTTTGCCAATAGTTTGAAATGCGATTAATTACGATTAATTAATTTTTAAGCTGTAATTAACTCGATTAAAAAAAGTAATCGTGTGACAGCCCTAATAAAAATATATAAAAAAAAAGTTTGTGCACAATAAATTATGTACAGTATAAACAGGCAGCGTTTCAGATTCATGCAGCAAGTGTCTGGAACTGTTTTACTGAAAATGTAAGGCAGACTTCTACTCTGGCAATGTTCAAATCCAGGTTAAAAACAGTTCTGTTTAGCTGTGTCTACAACTGAGGGATTGTATATTCACTTTCAATACACTTTTAAATAGTTGTGATTTTTTTTGTCTTGTGTTACTTTTTGTCTTGTGTTGACTATTTAGTTGCTCGCACTCAAAACAGTTTTATTCCATAACTTGTTTTCGCACATTCCGATCAGGTTTGTCAGACAGAAAAATGAAAAAGAGAAGGCCACCCCTCACTCAGCCAATCAGCTCAGAGAGTCACGACAGGACTCTTTCTCGTAAGTATACCAACAAATTCCAATAAGACAACCTTTTATTTTTTGCTTATGAGACAAACAACATTTATCATTTATGAAAAAAGGGTTGTCTACCCCAGCTGTCATTCAGACATTGAAGAGAAATGGACAAAAACAGGTCTTTACAGGTGAAGTTGCCAGACTGAGTGATAGAGAGAGTAAACAAATTGAGTTTGAGCTCTAGAAGATGGAGCACAGTCCATCCAATACAAGTAAAAAAGAGTGATACTACTCCATTTGAGTGTGTGTGTGTGTGTGTGTGTGTGTGTGTGTGTGTGTGTGTGTGCATGTACGTGTGAGTTTTTGAGTGTGATACATAAAAACAGAGTGGCACAGATCACACTGAGCAAAAGACACAAGAGATTTTGAGGCTCGGTGCCAGAACTCTTGACAGATCTGTGCTAAAAGGATTTTCTACTTGAAATGTTGACATTTTGGGAAAAGGAAAAGACAGATACACAAGAAGAAGACATTATCAAACTCATTAAGCCTCGTTCAAAGGGGAATTGTTGAGGGAAAAAAGGCATAATTGATTTTTTTGGGAATCAACTTGACTGCATGTGTTCACTAATACGGTGTGTAATATTTTCAATTCTCCAATGTGTTTGACTTTCACAATCAGATCACAGTCAGTCAAGAAGGATGTTTGTGGAAATGTGTATGCACTTTGTAGCCTGGTCCAATTTGGATGCTAATTCCTGATACCATTGCAAACCCAATAGATCCATCCATACAACACCTACACAACATACGGTTTCATTGGCCCTTGAAGGTGTTTTTGCCAAATTTTGGAAATGATGAAAGATAACAACTTTGTCCTTCCACTCATCGTTAGTGGTTGTGTGGACCTGGCCGTCACGAATCAGACTCGGGACAAACGCAAGACACAATATTCAATATATTGAATCGATAGGTCAGGGTGTCATATCAATCGTTTTTGGACTAGTTTAATTTCTCTGGTTGTGCGTCTAGAAAACGGCAGGTCAAGTGCACCCAGC